ATGGGAATGGATAGGGGTAAGGGGGTGTGAAGGGGGTGAAGGGGGTGAAGGGGGGGGGGGGGTTAGGAGGTCTTGGATGTAGAAGTGGAGGCGGGAGCGGGCACAGGCGCAGGCACAGACGCGGATGTGGTGGAACGCGGTGACTTGGCGGTGCGTGCCATCGAAGTGGCGACGGCAGACATAAGGCCAAAGGCAAAGGCGTTGGGCGCGAGGCTGGGATTGGCGTCGGCGATTTCGGACTCGATCATGCTCGCCAGGTCGTCCTCGTTGCAGGCGCCAGAGGCAAAGAGGTCGTCGTCGTCGATGGCAGCAGATGAGGAGGCGGTGCGGGGATCGAGGCCGGAGGCCGGGTCAGACTCGAGGGCAGGATCCACGGCCGGGAGGGCAAAGGCGACGGTGGATACCGGCCGGGCGTGGATGCGGGGCGTCGAACGGCGGAGCTGGCGGTTGATCTTGCGCTGGCGGTCGATGAGGCGCTTTTGCTCGGCGCGGGCGAGCGCCTCGGAGCGGAGGGCGGCGATCTCCTCCGAGGTCGGCACGTCGTCGGTGATGATGGCGCGCATAAAGTCCATGAACCTGGTCCGGTACGCGTGGGGCTCGATGGCAGACATGGCGGTCTCGTCGGTGGTCTCCGGGGTAAAGACGAGGTCCGACGAGAGCACGGCTTTCTCCAGGGTGAGTCGGCCGGCCTTGGTGCTCCGCTTGGCGGACTTGACCTTGTACGCGTGCTCGAGCTTCTTGATGAGGTTGTATTCTTGCATGATGTCGATGACACCAACAAAGTAAACCTCACGCTCGTCGAGCGGGCGCGGGTCACTGGGGTCCTCGGAGCGGATGCCGCCAAGGTAGGTCTGGAAGGCAGAACGGAACGGCGGCGGCGGCGGAAGAGGCGGCGGCGGCGGGACGGCCGAGACCGGCGGGAGCGTTGCCGACGCCGAGCCTGACGATGAGCCCAGCGTCGACGACGACGAAAGCTCCGAAGCGTCCGAGGTTGTCGACGAGTCGAGAACCAGGCGCGCTGAGCCGCGGTTCGACGACGACGATGACGAGCACGACGATGACGACGATGACGAGCATGATGACGACGACGACGCCGATGAGAGCCTGGCACTCGGGCTCACGGTTGCGGCCGGAGCCGGAGTGTAGATGCCGAGCAGGAGCGAATAATCCATGATGCCGTGGTCGGCAAGCAATGCCGAGTCGCGATCGAGCTGGTCAAGGAGCAGTTCCTTGACGCCGGGCCCGACGTGGAGACGGCGCTTGAGATTGAGGTCTTTGAGCACCTTCTCGCCCTCGATGATCTGCTTTTGGGTGACAAGGCGGTCCTTGGTGGAGCCTTTGAGGTCGTAGACCTCGCGGACGCGGAGCGGCGTGTGGAACACGTTGTTCATGACAACAACGCGGACAGTCTCCGACTTGACCTTGATTTTGTAGAGGCCGAAGAAGCGGGTGAGGAGCGAGTTGTCGCACATGACCATGTGGCGGTAGTAGTCATGGAGATGCTTGCGGAAGAACGAGAGCTCCGACGAGGCGACGGTCTTGATAATGTACTTGTTGTCCCAGGTGCGGAAGAAGAGCATGCCCGACTTGCCGGCGCCGGTCGAGCCGCCGAGAAGCGGCGACGAGATCAGCGAATCGACGTAGGCTGGGACCGGAACTCGCCACCGGGTGCGGAGGCGGGCAAAGACGAGCGGTGCGACGTCGACAATGACCGTCTTGCCCTTAATCTTCTTGCTGCGGGCCTTGCCCTTGGCCTTGGTCTTGGCTTTGCCCTTGCCCCCGCTCGACGGTTCTTCCTCGCCCACCGACGAGCCGTCGTCGGGATGCGCCGAGCCAGCGGCGTTTGCGGCGGTCGACCGCGCGCGATCGGAGGCAGGCCCGTTATCTGTACGGTCGATGGTGGACATGGCACGGGCCGCGGCGCGCGAGCGAGGGACGGGGACCGACTCAGCGTCGGCAACCTCCCATGGCGCGCGAAGATGCGGAGCGGAGGAAGAGCGGGTGAGGCCCGGGGCGCCCAGATGGATGACGTGCTTGGTCATGGCCGCGTAGTGTGCGTCGGTGAGCGGAAGGCGGCCGTGGGCCGGAACGCCCGCGGCGTCGGCGTCGGCAGCCTGCCGCTGCTGGGCGGCGAGGGCGGCGTGGGCCATGGCGTAGGCGAGGTGGACCCCCATGGGGGCGTCTGGGTGTGGAGGTGGTGGGAGGTGGTCCATGAGGGGAGGGGGGGGGGAGGGGGAGGGGGAGGGGGGAGGTGGGGGCGTGGAGTGGCTGCTGCTGCCAAGGCAACGGGCTTTTGTGGTGTTCGCTGCCCATTTCACGTGGCGGACGTCGTGTTGCGAAAGCCAGCCAAGCCAGCCAGTCAAGTCAGGCAAGGTCATGCCGTTCGACCGATGTCGGGCTTGGCGTGCGAGTGAGCGGTTGTCGACGATCGGGTACAGGCGCGATAGGATACAAAGATGGCGAGGCAAGCAAGGGCTGCAACGGCAAACGAAGAGGTGGGCGAGGAGGCAAAGGCGGCAGTGAGAGGCGGCGATGGACAGCAGCCGGAGCAGTCGGCGCCCGGGAGGTCCGAGGTGATGCGGCATGAGGCGAGGCACTTGGGCGCGGCATGCGGGTGGTTTGGATCGCGCGGGCAAGCGCAGCACATCTCCTGAGAGCAGCCGCAGCAGACATGATCGGCTGGGATGCACGCGCCTGACTCGGTCGACGGAGCCGTGAGCGAGGAGCAGCAGCGCTCGGCCCGCCGGGCAGCGCTGGGATCTGCCAGCTCCTCGCCGAGCACCAGGGTGCACTCACTCGTCCCGCACAGCGACTGCGGTGCCAGCTCGTTGAACGTCTCAAACTCGCCGATCTCCATCGTGTCGGGTAGGCGGCGGGTGGTGGCCGGCAGTCTCAGGGCGTCCGCGCCCATACATGCCGTCAGCGCCACCAGTACCACGACAGCGAGGGAAGTTGGGATTGTGGCCATGAATGAGATGAGGTTAGCCCAAGGGGAGGAGGGGGAGTGAGGGGGGTGAGGTGGAAGTGAGCCAGTTAGCCCCCTCTCGACCCTGACCACCCTCACCTCGGCCAACACTGCCCAAACCACCGCTGCCTCTTCCCCCTCCACCCCCCCCACCCCACACACACACACATACACACCCCCCCTATCCACGCACACTCGCACTCACACTCGTCTTGCAAGGCGCCCTCCATGACAGCCTTGCACAGACAAGCACCGGTGCTCCTGCCGGGCCTGTGCTTGCTCGCCATGCGTATGCCCTTCCCTTCCCCCCAATGGTACTTTGAATTA